GAACCAACGAAGCCGCCGCTGTGCGCTGTGCGACACAGTGGGCCTGAGATGGCTCTTCCAAGAATCCACCCTCCTGGCCTGTGAAATCTGTCTCCCCTCCTTCAACCAGCACTCCAGCCAACCCGATTCTTCGCGGCCAGAGCTGCAGATGTCCGCCAGAGGGCGCCTTTGCGCCGTCGGTCGCGGGGTCCGCAAGCTGTGATTTCCTGGCTGTCGGTTTTTCGGGGTGGCTACCTAGCGCCTTCCCGGGGCAGGTGCCCACCGCCCTCCAAACCCCTACTAGGTTTGATATTTCCAGCCTCAGCTCCTTGTCCGCCCCGCTCCGCCCCCACGGTCAACGCGCCCGCCTCGACGCCCTCCAGCCCTCTGGTCCCCGTCCCGCGCACTGGAGCCTGGGGAATTGCACACCTCGCACCTGCTCCGGGGGCTGCCTCCCTTCCCGTGCAGCGCAGGCTGCCTCCCGCACCCCCTCCCGCATGACCCGGTCTCCCCCAAGTCCTCTGTGACCAAGGAGAGCAGCGACCCTCCTCCCCCAGCGAGGACGTAGCCGCCCCTTCCCCCTGCACAGAGTCTGAGGGAGAGCGCCTCCTCCTTCCAGGGACCCGTCTCCTTCCCCCAGGATGGCCACTGACGACTGTCTCAAGTGGTGCCCTGGCCTCAGGAGCCCCCTTGTCACCACCACCCTCTCGGGCCCTCCCGTGTCCTGGCCGCCCCCTGTTCCTCGGGGCAGAGGGAAGCCCTACCCCCGGACGCTCCTGCTCCTGCATAGGCGGCTGAGGATTCCTCTGTTTTCTTAGGTGCAAGGCCTCTGGGGGCTGACTCCTCCTACGTTCTTCATTCCCCGCCCAACTGATTACTTCTCTGGCCAGGCCACAGGGTTCCTGGATCCCCACGCCCTCCCAATCCTGCCAGAGCAGGCTGTGGCTGGCGGGGAGGACGGGCGGAGATCAGCCTCCCAGGTCACTCCGGCCACTGGAACATCGCAGCTCTCCCTCTGGGCCCAAGCCCGAAAGGCTTGGCCGCCTTCATTCTAGCATGTTCACTCTCCCCGAGCTGGCATTGTTAAGCCTTTTAACCCTAAAAGGATGACTTGGTCTACATGTAAAGGGATTTCAGGAGGCGTGCTCATGATAGCATTTTTCTTTAGTCTCTGTAAGGTTCCTCACTTCATTCCCTTTCATCTGAATACTCCATTCCCCTCTGCCTGCCCCCTAGAGCTAGCCATTCAACTGTTCCTTTTGTTTCCACGTGTTCTTGCCACCTCTTGCCACCTCCCGTGGGTTTTGCCGGCATGCGTTTGAAATTTGCATTCAAAGAATTGTATTATTTCTCATTCAAGTTTTTCACTCAAAGCTAGGAGTTCAAGATCAATCTCTACAGCTCCTGCCCCTTCTCCCTGCTGCCTCCTCTCAGCGGTGCTCACACTAGGCTTCACCGCCAATAACAGTGCAATCATTACTCTCAAACACATCCTCCTCTATGTGGCGCAGTGTCTCAGACAGTGTATGGCCTGGAAATCATGTTAAAATGCAGGCTCTGAAATAAGAGGGGGAAAAATGCAGGCTCTGATTCCACAGGCCTGGAGTGGGGCCCCAAACTCTGCACGTTCAACCAGCTCCCAGGTGAGGCCTGTATGGCTGGTCCTGGGGCCACACCCTGAGCAAGGCCCTCAGGGGCCTCTGTGAGAACTCATGCTGAGTTGCTGGATCACAGGGCCTGTGTGGATCTAATTTGGTAAGTACTACCCATCTGCTACCCGGGCTGGTACCACCTTACTCCACATTAGCAGAACCCTGTTTCCCCGAAAATAAGACAGTGTCTTATATTAATTTTTGCTCCCAAAGATGCGCTAGGTCTTATTTTCAGGGGATGTCTTATTTTTCCATGAAGAAGAATACGGTACACATTTATTGTTAAATGAAAATAAAGGAAATTTATTGCCTGTATACGGTACGATAGTACGGTAGTTGTCAACACAAACCAGACAAACTGTGAATCCTACAGTATCAAGAATTTACTTATTTATTCAATGACAATCATGTCATCATCTTCTGGAACATCATCATATTAATCCAATTCCTGAATTTCCTGGTGAATTTCTTGTGACTCCATTTCTTTCAGAATCAGTGGACCAAATCTCTCATGTTTAGCCTGGGGGGGGGCCTTATTTTAGGGGATGCCTTATATTTCACTCAGAAGGAAACCTGTAAGTAGGTTTTATTTTCGGAGGATGTCTTATTTTCGGGGAAACATATACACACACACACACACACACACACACACACACACAGAGAGAGAGAATGGGGCAAAAATAGGTTTACAGTGTGAGTATGTGAAACACTGAGTTTATTCTTGTATTATTTATTAATTATTGTATTTTCCTTAAGAACAACTGTAAACCTACTTTTGCCCCTCCCTGTATTTATGTGGGAAAGGAAGGAGGCCTTCTCCTTGCTTCTGCCCAAATCTTGTCCCACAATGTGGGCCCAAACCTCTACTCTCCCTTAATTGGAATGGGCTCAAGGCTCCGGAGTGACAGTTCTGACCAGCAATGCTGGGCTAAGTCTATGGTGGACCTGAGGAGATTTCAGTTGGGTTGTATTTTCTCTATTGCTCTCCTTTTAGTGTCCTGTTAAGTAGACGAGGACTCACACCTGGCCTTCCCATAGGCAAGCAGCTGTTTTGAACCCGATTTCTCATCTCTAAAATGGAATAGTGGTAGCATAGCTATAGTTTGCAGAGTGAGGCGGCAGGCTAGGAACTTTACCCGCATGCCAGCAGCCCTGTAGAGCCCTAAGACAGGGGTTCTTACCTCGTTTTACCCATGAGGGAAATGAAGTTCAGGAAGCCTTAAGAATTCCCACAAGGCCATGGCCATAGAAAGTGACAATGTTGGGATTCAAACCCAGCCTCAGCTAATGCTCCAGAGCCCCTGCTAGCCACGAGGCTATTCCCGCACCATGTCCTGCCTTGCCCTTGCTACCAGGCCATGTTTCAGGGACAATCACAAGGAAATGGGAAGGAAGGACTATGCCTGGAGTTTCAGGCATGGATGCTGAAGGCTTCTGACCAGTGGCATGGAGGGTTATGAAATTCTACAACAAGTGCATTTTGGCAAGAATGAGCCTGGGTTCTAGGGGCTGGTCCTCAGGGCTTGAGTATTTAGGTGGCAGGAGAAGGGGGACTTTGGGTCGAGGGCTTTAGGAGCAGGGTTTTTAGGCTTAGAAGTACACTAAGTCAGGGATGGGCAGGATTTGGGAAGGTCAGGAATTGAGTGGGAGTTAGAAGTGGGGTAGGAAAAAAAACCCACTAACCATGATTTCATTAAAAAAAAAGAAGAAGAAGAAGTGGGGTAGGGATCAGGTGGTGGGGTCTTAGCTGTGAGTAAAGCTGTCTATCATGTGCTTTATCCCATATAATAAAAGTGTAATATGCAAATCAATCGAACAGCAGAATGCCCAGTTGGCAGGGGGCGGGACCATTGAGCAGGTGGTGTCAAGCTAGCTAAGGTGAGTGCCAGGGGGCAGATGGAGGGAAAGGCAATGTAGGGTGGAAGGTGGGGCAGCACCATCCCCTGATTGGCTGGCCTGGTTGCCTTCCGCAGAGGGAGGCCAGATTGTGGCTTAGGTGGGGAGCAGGCCTAAGCTGTCAGTAGGACATCCCTTGAAGACTCTTGGGCTGTGAGAGGGCACAAACTGGGCTGAGGGACCCCCCGCCCCCAGTGCACAAATTTTTGTGCACTGGGCCTCTAGTTTGGTAATAGTTGATCACTCACTGCTTTGTTTGGAGGGTTGGCAGATGTGCAAACAGCCAGCACCCAGGGCCTCGGGAATGCCACCTTTCATGACCCTCCTGGTGTAGGGAGCAGCTGAGTCCATTTGGAAACCATGGGCTCTGCTTTTCCCACTCACAGAGCTGTGCAAGCATCTCCTGGCACTAAGCCCCGGGCCCAAGCATTTCACAATCAGAAGAGTTCGACATCTGCAGATTTTGAGATTTCATGACACATGACATTTTTACATCGTGTCCACACCCATCCCATCCTCTGTTTACCACTGTGATTCTGCTCACGGCAGGACATTTTCCCCGCAGGCCTAGGGAAGCTTCTTGCTCTTTCTATGGCCGTGGGGCTCCAAAGGCCTTTTGAGTCTACAGAATGTTCTCAAGAGTTCAATAGAGTCTCTTATCGTTTCCTGGACTTTACAAAGGTCTTCATACATCGGTGTTGCTTTTGACGCACTTAGCACAAGCTCAAAGAGAATTAACTGGCCAAGGCCACCTGTGTAGGCGGGTGGACTGGGACTTGTTTGTTATTCCAGAACAGACCTCAGGAGACGTAAAGAGTGGGTACTCTCTGGGAACCTCACCACCCTATTCAGCCCATTTTCCAGACCCGGGGGTGTGGACTGAGGCAGGCCCTAAGGTATCTAGGGAGCAGGGGAATGTCTGGCCAGGGAGGTCTGGGAGGTGAGTTAGTTGGAGTCTCATGGGGCGTGTGGCCAGCCCCCTTGTAGCTAGGCTCCCGCCAGTGGGCCCTTCCTAGAGCAAATGGAAAAGGAGTGTTGGTGGGAGGCATGGCGAGTCCAGGGGTACCCAGGCGGAAGTGCTCAGTGAGTCTGAAGCTGAGACAGCTGCAAGAAAAAGATGTTGCCAGTTGCTAAGGGGGCCCCAGAGGTGTCACCACACCCACATGGGAGCTCTTGGTGGCTTGGCCAAGCTCTGCCCCTAGCTAAGCCTCCTGCCCTATCCCCTTCTCCTCAAAGCCCCTGGCCCCCCACACCAAGTACCTGCAGCAGCAGCAGCTTGCGGGAGGTGCTCAGGGTCAGGCCAGTCTACCTTGCCAGCTCCAGCAGCATCACCCATGCCACCACCTGTGCTAGGGCCTGGACGTCTGGGCCGGTTGAAGCAGGAAGGCCCTGGTCTCCCTGCCCTCCCTCTCCCTCGGGGCCTCGGGCCTCGGGCAGGGCTAACAGACACAGGCAGCGGGATGGGTTGCCCTTCTATTGGTCCTGCGCGTAGCCTGGGTGAGACATGGAGGTGAGGAGGCCCACGAGGCTCAGCAGCGTGGAGAACAGCAGCAGGAAGGAGGCGGTGAAGAGCAGGGCCGGGAGGGCGCTGAGCACCAGCAGCAGGATGGCCGGCAGCAGATGGCGCCACGCCGCGGCCGCCACGGGCCACAGGGAGCTCAGCAGGTGGGAGCCGGTCGTGAAGAGCGCGTGGCACAGCATCAGCGCCAGCAGCAGGTAGAGGACCCCCTCCAGGTTCCACAGCATGCGCTGCAGCGGCTGCCGCCAGCTGGACGTGGCCCACCACTGGGTCCAGCTCTGGGGCACGTGGCACAGGCACCAGCGCACCCAGTCCTGCCGCGTGACCCAGGCCGTCCAGGGCAGCGCCCGCTGCGGCCCCTCGCCGGCCCCGATGGCATCCGTCTGCACTCGAGGCTGTTGCATCACAGGTGGTGCACCTGGGGAGAGGCTAGGCCAGCTGCAGGAGCAGCCCCCGGAGGTCCCTGGGGTGCAGGGGTCAGGAGGGCACCCGTGTGGGTGGGGCGGGGCTTTGAGCTGGGGTCTGGGTCTTACCTCTGGGCAGAGATTCCCTCCCTAAGTCATGTTGCTTCCTGCGGTGCCCACGATGGCCTGGCAGCCAGAGTTGAGCCTCTCTTTCACTCTCCCTCCCCCTCCCTAGAGGAGCCCCATTGTGACCCGGATTGGGGTGGGGTCCAGCCAAGAAAGGAGCCTCTCTCTGTGGACCCTCTAGGCCAGCGGGGAAGTCTGGGAGCCCACGGATGTAGCTCCTCATGCTTTCTCGTGGGAAGCCCTCTTGGGTCCCTGCCCCTTCCCCACTGGCTAATCATGAGTCCCACTCTGCTCCCCTGCAAGTCTTTCTCTGGGCCTTCATGCTTTAGAACCCCAGGGGAGGCCAGAACGGCCAGCCCCGACCTGTAGGTTCTGAGATGGCCGTCACATCCTGTCCTGGGCTCGCTGTCGCTTCCTCATCTCACCTTCTACCATTGCCGGAGGTCTGCTGGTGCTCAGGCTGGGGCGACCGTGTGCCCTCCCACCGGCCCCGCCCGGACGGAGGACAGGAGGCCTGGGGAAGCAGCACGGCCAGTGTATTTCCGGAGGGCAGTCAGGCCCAAGGATAGAGGCAGAAAGCCAGGCCGAGCAGGGCCAAGGGCATGCCTCGGGCTCCCAAGAGCAGCTCCAGGCCCAGGAGCAGGAGAAGCAGAGCCTCCTGGAGGCTGAGTCGTCCTGTGACTGCCACTGTACGCAGGAGCAGCGCCTCCTGCTGTCTTGGGCCCTCGCCGGCCCCTCGGCTTTGGCCCCCTGCAAGGTGGGTGTGCGGTGGCCGGGCAGGGCCCGTGGGCCTGCGGGGAGAGAGAGGGCAGCAGTCGCGATTCGGGAGGCTGCCCACCTGCACCTGCCCACCTGCCGGGCTGCTGCCCGTTTACCTGTGGAGCAGGTCGAAGGCCAGGAAGCTGACCAGCAACAGCAGCAGCAGGAGGGCGGGGCCCGCCATGGAAAAGACTGCCCGGATTGTCAACCCCAGCGCTCCCAGCCCGAGGACACTGTCCAGGAGCTGGGCCGGGCTAGGGCCCCAGACAAACACTCATGGACTCATTGAACTACCCAACCCCTCCCCAGCACCCAGGCCCCTGGGAGGAGGGACAGGGATAGGATAAGCAAGGACTTCAGGCCTGGGTAACAGAGCTGGGTCATGGGGGGTGGCGGGGGTAGTAACGGGGGCGTGTGGGAGTGTGGGAGGGGATGGCAGACAGGCACCCAAGGATGAGCTCAGGGAGTGGGGAATTGGGCTCCTTGGGAATCTCCCCCTCCCCACCCACCCACTCACCCGCCCACCCAGGCCTCCTCACCTCCTGCCACTAGGCTCTGCCATTCTGGGACTGGGCCTCTGGGGCATTGTGAGCTCTTGCCAGGCGGGGCTCTGTGGGAGGGAGGGGCCGCTGCTGGTTCTGGCCTCACAAGCAGCCATTGGCTCGGGTGGGGCTCAGCCAGAGGTCAGTTCTTTCTGAGAACGGCTACTCTCCTCTTGCCTCTGCTAATTCCCTGCCCGAGGGCCCGCCCATGGGATTGAGTCCCCAAGAGGCATTCTAAGCCCTCACTGCATGGGTAGCTGATCAAAGGAGAGGGGCTGCTTTCTTTCTCCTGCAGGTGCTCGGAGCTGTGTCCAGGGACACGTCCTTCCATCTTCCTGCCCACTGCTCTCTCCCCTGAGAGCAGGGTGATGCCTGTGGGCCCTGGCGGGGGATTTTTCAGGACTGCAGCCCTGGAATGGAGAGACTCTGGCAGGAAGGAACCAGAGGCTTTCCAAGGCTGGGCTCCCCTGTGACCTGCCCTTTTACCTGGGGAGCAGATGGAAGGCCTACTTTCCTGGTAGCCTACAGGGTCCTATCCTGGGGCAAGAGGCAGCAGTGTAAGCATTTAAGTGCTATGGTGTGTAGGTGTCCGGGACACTGGGATTCCAGAAATGGCACAGAGGGCTACAACCTAGGAACCCCCAAACCGGAGTTTAGAGTCATTCCCTGAGATCGAAATGAAGGAAAATGGACACGTAATAAAGGGATTGGTCACGTAGGAAAGAAACCCACCCCTATTGATGATGTGTCATTGCGCGATGGTTCCAACACACCCCCGTTTGGTGGCCTGAGAGGCAAGAATGGGAATAGGTCGTAATGGAAAGAACTTAATCTTTGTCCACATGGCATACTTTGAATAAGGTGACCAGACGTCCCGATTTTTAACAATTTGTCTCTCGTCCCACGGCGTTTTAAAAAAGTCCCGGTTTTTGGAAAGAATGCACAACAAGCTAGGGAATGGCGGAAGAATGGGAAGGGAATATATGGTTTTCGGTGGCCATGGGGCTTTTTAGCCAGGATATGAGTTTTGTATTAATTTTATAATGTTAAACTTTATTTTTTATTTTATTTTATTTTTGCACCAAACACATCACATTTCTTTTCTTTTTTTAAAAGCAAATAACAAAGACCCATTTTACCAGCTTTATTTTTTATTTTTTATTTATTTATTTTTTTAAATTTCCCTCCTTGTTTTTTTTTAAAATTTATTTATTTATTTATTTTACATATTTTATTGATTTTTTTTTGCCCCCCTCCTTCCCTCCCACATATCCCCTCCCTCCCCAGAGTTTTATGTCCATTGGTTGTACTTATATGCATGTATACAAGTCCTTGGGTTGATTTATTATCTCCCCCAGACCCTCCTCCCCTCCCCGTTGTAATTTGACAATCTGCTTGTTGCTTTACTGTCTCTATATCTGTCTTTTGGTTCATCAGTTTATAATGATCTTTATTATACACAAATGAGTGGGGTCATGTGGTGTTTCTCTTTCGTTGATTGGCTTATTTCACTCAGCATGATGTTCTCCAATTCCATCCAGGTTGCTGCAAATGATGAGAATTCCTTCTTTTTTATGGCAGCATAGTATTCCATTGTGTAGATGTACCAAAGTTTTTGGATCCAATCATCAGCTGACGGGCACCTAGGCTGTTTCCAGATTCTGACTATTGTAGATTGTGCTGCTATGAACATAGGGGTGCATATATCCCTTCTGATTGGTGTTTCTAGTTTCTTGGGATATATTCCTAGAAGTGGGATTACTGGGTCAAATGGGAGTTCCATTTTCAGTTTTTTGAGGAAACTCCACACTGTTCTCCACAGTGGTTGCACCAGTCTGCATTCCCACCAGCAGTGCACGAGGGTTCCTTTTTCTCCGCAACCTCGCCAATACTTGTTGTTTGTTGATTTGTTGATGTTGGCCATTCTGACAGGTGTGAGATGGTACCGCATTGTTGTTTTGATTTGCATCTCTCGGATAATTAGTGACTTTGAGCATGTTTTCATGTGCCTTTTGGCCTTCTTTCTGTCTTCTTTTGTAAATATTCTATTTAGGTCCATTGCCCATTTTTTAATTGGATCATTCATCTTCCTTTTATTTAGTTGTATCAGCTGTCTGTAGATGTTGGAGATTAAACCTTTATCAGTGGTATTATTTGCAAATATGTTCTCCCACACCATGGGCTTTCCTGTTGTTTTGTTGATGGTTTCTTTTGACCAGCTTTACTTTTTAAACCTAAGCTTAACATTACACATTTAAACAATTGTCAAAACTTACTAAGTTGCCAGCATTCATGCACAACTAGAAAACATCCTCAATTTATACTAAGCCAGAAATATTACCATTGATGCATTAGTACCTTTCACTACTCAACACGGAAAGACTGAAACTGCTCTGGGGCGCGTCCTGGCCACGTGAGCTTCACAGCAGGCCACCCTGATGGCTCAGCTTAACCACCATGGAAAGCAGGTCCGTGCTGGTGTTAGTGTATGAAGTCACGGCCGCCCTCGATCACGTTTAATAAAAAGCAAAGTGCATACAGAGATTTACAACAATTGCAAAGACCAAAAAGAAAAGGTCCTATCATGTAGTTCCAACAATAACTCAACAGTCTGACAAACAGGCTCCGATGAGTATAAATACTTGATTAGGGACAGTTATACTGAAAGTTGAGTTCGTCTGAAATCTTTCAAAAAATGTTCCTGTCCTCAAATGGTGCTTGTTACAGTTAACATCTCTGTTACATGTGTGCGTTGAATTATTTGTTATCCAAGCGTAGCAGCTGCTCCTTACCATTTATCGTCAAGGACTTTAACTGGCCGTCTTCTTCAACTTCTACTCTTTTTTGACCGTTCTCGACAATTCTCTTTGTAGTGATTTTTCTTCCGTTAACAATTTTGGTAGAAGGCGATACGGACTTGAAGTTGCCCATACCACCACCACCAAATGACGAAGAAGAGAATGCAGTGAGATCCCCATGGCCTATTGACCCGGAGGAAGTAAATCCTGCATCAAAAGATGGAAACCTCCACCAAAAGCTGGGAACCCCGTGAAGGCGGAGAAGAACGAGGTGGTTCCCCAGTTCCTGCTCCCACGCGGACCCCGCCGGGTTCCAAAGGAGTCATCCAATGGGTCTTCAAAGGAGTCGAATGAAAACGGGTCCCTGCTGGGACCGGTTTGTCTCAGTGGTAGAGCGTCGGCCTGCGGACTGAAAGGTCCCGGGTTCGATTCGGGTCAAGGGCATGTACCTTGGTTGTGAGCACATCCCCCGTAGGAATGGTGCAAGAGGCAGCTGGTCGATGTTTCTCTCTCATCGATGTTTCTGACTCTCTGTCCCTCTCAATTCCTCTCTGTGTAAAATCAATAAAATATATTTTTTTTAAAAAAGAAAGAAAGAAAGAAAGAAAACGGAGCCCTTCCACCAAAAAATTCCCTGAACACGTCATCTGGGTTCTGGAATGTGAAGCCGAACTCGAACGGGTTGTCGAAGTGACTTCCACCTCCACCTCCACCTCCACCATTTGACCCTCCTTTGCCGCATCTGTCACAGATGTCCCGTTTTTTTTTTTTTTTTAGCATCGGAGAGCACCTCATACGCCTCAGCTACTTGTTTGAATTTCCTCTCCGCTTCTTCTTTATTCTCAGGATTTTTATCTGGGTGCCACTTCAATGCCAGTTTCCGATAGGCCTTTTTAATGTCCTCAGCGGAGGCATGTCTCTGCACGCCTAGAACGTCATAGTACTCATGTTTTACAGGCTGTTGGAACGAGTCCTGCAGACGCGGAGCCGGCGGCGGGGGCGGTGGGGCGGCAGCCCGGTCTCTTCGGCTTCTGAGCAGCAGCGCTGGTGACGGCGGCGGCCTTATAATGTTAAACTTTAATAATAACAAATAATTGATGAGAACTGCTTATCAAAGTTCGCATTGTTGATCAGTTGTTAGAATTCGACCACCATTGTTTGGACTTAATGAACAATGGCATTTTTTGGGATTGGCAACGATGAAAACATTTTGTAACTGTCTCTCAGACGATACATATGGTACTAAGCATGCTAGTAAGCTAGTTAAACAAGTGATGTCATTACAAATCAGCTATTCAGATAATTTAGGTAAGTAATTTATGTATTTATTTCATAAATACATAAATTTTCTTGAATTTAGCAGACAGTACTCATATTATTTATATTTTATAGTGGTGGCAAAAAGTCTAGCACCGGCCTTGAAAGTGACACAACTATACGTAATTTTTTAATGTGTTATATTTGTAAATTGTACTTATGTTGAAATTTTAAAAAATATATTACAACACTATTTTTGCGTTCTATGAAAATTTTTGTTGCTCCATATAGACCAAATTTTAAATCAAGAACACCCCCCCCCCCCCATCAATGATGTACCGCTTTACCAATGTTAAAATTTGGTCACCTTAACTTTGATTTATTTATTTATTTATTTATTTATTTATTTATTTATTTATTTAAATATATTTTATTGCCGGGACCGGTTTGGCTCAATGGATAGAGCGTCAGCTTGGGGACTGAAGGGTCCCAGGTTCGATTCCAGTCAGGGGCATGTACCTTGGTTGCGGGCATATCCCCAGTAGGGGGTGTGCAAGAGGCAGCTGATCGATGACTCTCTCTCTCAT